GTGATACCTACCTCCCCACTCCTCTACCCCCTCACCATGCGCCCACATTTATGACTAATTCTTTATACTCCAGTAGATAGGCGTGCACCGATCAGATACAGGGCACACCCGCCCAAGTTTGTGATGTCCAGTGTCTTCGGGATCCCCCGAACCTCCCCACATGGCTAAATGTAATGTTACTAACTAAGTTGCAGTAACATTTTTTTGTTATGTTTAGGACATATTACCGTAAGACAGAGAATGCAGATTAGCCATTTCTGCTTCATTCCGCTGCTATACTTGAGTAGAGTATATTGGATATACTCTACTCAAGTGTAGCAGCGGAATGAAGCAGAAATGGCCAATCTGAATTCTGACGACGCCTAATGACGCAGAAATGGCCATTCTGGATTCTCTGTCTTACGGTTGTGTCCTGTTTATACCCTCTTTTCCTATAAAGTTTCACCCTTCGAGGCTGAGACTTAATTGGGCAGTTAATTATCTTGTTAATAGGCAATGACCATCTGCAGTTGAATAAGAGGTCACCAAATTGTATGTAATCAATAACTCTTGTTAATTTTGTAATCGTTGTCTTGTTCAAATTTCTTCCAGGAAAACAAAGTTTCAATAAAATAATACCTGTCAATATTTTTAAATTTTTGAAATAATAAAATTATAACAAGCACCAAGTTTACAATTACTTAAAATGTGCTTACATTTTTTGTGAGACACCATATACTATAGGCAGATAAACACAACCGACAAAGACAAGGGAGACTGGAATGGCCATTTTTGACTTATAAGCCAGTCTCCCTTTTTCTTTGTCCGTAATCTATATCTGCCGATTATATATGCCAGCTGTTGAGCAAAAGATCGAACTCGAAAGCACAACGGGAGGACTGCATTTTATTACCATTCGATCGAATCCTATCATCCACTGTGCACATTCCTGATAAAAAAAACTGGCGAGGAAACGTGCCTCCTGGCGCAGTTGTTAGAGCGTTGGGTTGTGCAGCGGCTTGGCTTAGCTATAACTGGCTGGTGGCCGTTCCAGTCTCTTCTGTCCTTCTCGGCAGTGCATTTCTGTCTATA